TAGGGAAAGTACTTGTAAATGGAAAGGTGGTTAACAAAGCGGGGACTCCAGTCTCTGACAAAGCTGTTGTACAGATAATGGCTGAAGTCCCAAAATATGTATGTAGGTGATTACTTTACTTTGACAAACCAACTTTCACTTCGTTTATACTAAGATTCATTCATGCACTAACTTTTAGCAAGACCTCTGGTGCTAATTTGTTCGTATACTGCCCATCCAGAGCAGGACACAAGTTAGAAGCTGCCATTGAACAGCTAGGTATTGATGTTTCTGGCAAAATAGCTCTTGATTCAGGGTTGTCAACCGGTGGATTTACTGACTGTTTACTTCAGTATGGTGCATCATTTGTTTATGGAGTTGATGTAGGTTATGGTCAGGTAATACAATTATTTGGTAGCAAATCAGGCTTTGTTCCATTAATTAAAAGTGTATGTTTATCAGTAGAGGTGCATTTTGTTACTACTTTTCCTGAATATAGAAATACAGATCAAATGGCATTACAATGGCCTGTGCCATACTTCTCTCTGATATTCTTCTACTCTGCAGTTTTGTCATTGGTGTTTCTTGATTACTTATGTATGCTTGCTTCATTAGGTGGCAGAAAAAATTCGAACGGATGAACGTGTTAATGTGATAGAACGAACAAATTTAAGACACCTTCCTGGACTCCCTCAAAGAGTTGATTTGGTGACTTTGGACCTCTCGTTCATCTCTATTCTATTGGTAAGCTTTCAAACATTAGTAAAGTTACAATTGCCATGTGCCTGGTTCTTTGGGCGATTTCAATCTTTGTTTTATTTTCTGTGAGGGGCCACCCGGAGGATTTACTGTTCATCTCACTCTTAAGTGTTCTCTATGTGCTATCCCCCAAGGAAAACAAAAGTTCTTTTTTTTTTATTGTTTTTTTATTTATGAATTTCCTGGGTTACACACCTGGGTTACGACTTCTTTTTATTTGGAAGCAGGTCATGCCTGCTGTAATCAAGGTAATGAAGGAAGAGTCGTCATTAGTCACCCTGGTCAAACCTCAATTCGAAGCTCGCAGATCACAAGTAAGAAAGTTGTCTTCTATCAACCTTTATTTTTTTTACTAGAAATTATAAGGTATAGAAGAGCTATCAACTGACACATGGCAATGGTAACTATGCACAGGGTAATTAGTAAAGTTACCTTTCTTAGTAAAGTTACCTTTCTTATCTGGGCTACAACATCAATGCCAATTTAACTGCTATTTTATATTTAAAGAAAACCCTTATGAACAGGGTAATTATGCAAGCATTATGCATTTACTTCTGGATGTTGCGGAATAATGACTATTTCCTTGGCATATGCATTCACCATTCGGTATGAGAACTAGCTTTGATCAAACAAACTTTTTTCTACATACTAAGCCTTGCATAAAGCGTAGAGAGACTTTTATTGGTATGCAGACTCTACATGTATAAACTTTCCTTGCCGTTTAAAATGCTCAATGCATGGAACAATTTCTATGTAGTTTGCACATATTTTGTTTTGTTTTCTGTATAAGATGCATGTTAGCTATCAATAGTTTTTGAGGATGGAAAATTTAAAACCTTCTTATCATTTCAACCGCACAGTGATAAGAGAAGGATCAATATTATCCAGAAAACATCAAATAAGCATTTGTTTTAAGTTCAGAATTTCATTTTCTTTGCAGGTAGGAAGTGGTGGGATTGTGCGAGATCCATTAGTCCATCAAGAAGTAAGTATTTCTTCCTTGTTTATATTTGGTTTCTTTCAGCCTAATATCTAAAAGAGAATAAGATTTTATTTTTCATCCTTTTGTTAAGATTCTTTCTCCATAACAACTGTTATGTAGCCCTAATTGATATCAACTGTTAAGGTTCTTTTTCCACAACAACTGTTAACAGAAAGTGGAATAAATGCTTTATCCACTATTTTCTGGCGAGTAAATGAAATATAGCCTGATATTGATTAAGTTTTACTGTATAGGTTCTTGAGAGGATTATCAAGGGTGTAGAGAATTTCGGATTTACCAGCAAAGGATGGATTGAGTCTCCTCTTAAGGGTGCTGAGGGAAATACAGAGTTTCTTGTTCACTTTACTCGGACAGCTAAGAAAAGTGAGGATGAACTTAAAATGCTAAATACGACGGAATCTGTTCAATTACCCTGAATACAAACCTGCCATTAAAGAGTACCATGAAATGGAAGATGGCGTGGCACCCCTGAATACAACCCTGCCATTAAAGAGTACCATGAAATGGAAGATGGCGTGGCATACCAATGACAATTAAATTGAGTTACAGCGTTGAGTTACCGCCCGGGGTCTAGACGTTACTTGAAATTCATGAATTAGCTTATTTGAGAAGGCTTTTCTGTAATTGTAAGGATGAACAAGTACATAATTTGATCCATAATTTTTCCAGTTTTCTAAGTTTTGCATGAACATTTTCAACTCATGTTCATAGAGCAGATGTTCAATTACAACTTTTAGGATTGTTCAGCATTTCAAAAGGGATTCTAATACCAACCGCTTGACCAACAACTGAGAGCCAAGACACCAAATATTGTTCAACTGCTACTCCATTTTTAGCCTGAAAATCATCGCCGAGGTAAAGCAGCTTCATCCACTCACTGGTACCACATGGATGCAGCTTGTACCATGGTCTGTTCAGGTAAGGATGCTCCTATGTATACCACATTCAGATATTTAATTAAATATTGGCAGCTCCCAAAAATAGGAGGAATGCATCCAGAGATTAAGAGAAAGAAATGGTTGCAATGAATATTGGGAAAATGCACCTCCTGAGTTATAAATGTCCATTTTGATTCCAGTAACACCTTTGCTGAGCATGCAGGTAGGTCTTTTTCAATTTCATCCAATGCCAAAGGCTGACCATCTATATCATTCACAAAAATCAGAATTAACTCTGTTCATAAGTGATTCATTAAATTTAGTTTTAAGTTCCTAAAAACAGATTAACATACCGATGTAGTAACCGCGAAAATACAGTACCGGAACTCGATACGAATCGCTGTACACTATATGGAAATCATAGTAACATACTTGTAGACAGTTGTTGGTCTCAACCTTGCAAATAGGAAAAAGAAAAATGATAAAAATGCAAGATTGATAACGGGGTGCAAATTTAAACGAAAAACGGTGTTTTAACAAGCAAAGAAAGCAATCACAATACATTACCAGTGTGGCATTATCAACAGGCTCAAGCTCCTCTTCTCCCTCATTAAGACTTATTTCATCAACATCTTCCTGTAAAAGAACATTAACAAATTATGAGAGCTCAAAACATCATTAAACTCTGCTAACGTAAGAAGCTCATTAAGCCTTGATTACTTGAGAAGCCACGTGTCCTTTGTTGCTTGACCCAGGAAGGCATATCTTCTCCAGTGACAAGTAGCCCTGCTGCAACAACTGAGGGAGATGGCAAGGTGGTTGTTTAGGAGGACAAGGAACCCACGTCCATGGAGAGAAGGCAGAGTTGAATTCCTTCCATTTCTCGGCAAAAGCACGTGCAGAAACAAAAAAGTCACGTGACGTGAGGGTTCCATCCCACGACAGAGCATCCATAAATCGCTTGATTGATTAAAATTT